GAGCAGGACTGCGATTCCTATTTGTTGAATGAATTAAGAAACGACTTTCGTTCTTCCAACTAGGTTCCTTTCAGGCAGGGTGATGAAGGCTGGATTCTCCAAGCTTTTGGGTGCTTTCGGACGATTTTATGCCTGACTTGTGCTCTGCACTTCACAGTTTAGGACTGCCTGCCTCTAGGTTTGCTGTCAAAATAGAAATGATGGCTGGAAGGAATTTTGAGGATCTTAGGAAGCCCTCCCTTCGGAGCTGGAAGGCTAGAAGGCATGCTGTGGGTTCATCTGCTTTGGGGACCATGGCTTTCTCTCTGGGTAATCTGCTCCATAGGGACTCAGTGCCCTCCTACTTTCAAAACCCTGGTGAAAGCCTGGCTGAGTTTTGCACTTCAGAACTAACTGGAGCCCCACCGCCCCAGGGGGGAAACACTGTGTTCTGAGAGCCCAAGGGAGGGAGCTACAGACTGGAATGGTCATGGGGAAGACTCCCATAGGGGTGATCTTGACCCCTGCATCCCTATTGCAGAAATCACCTCAAAGAAGGCTCTGCCAACCTAGAAAACTCCAGGGCCTAATACAGTGCAAATTATCCTTATTAAGTAATGGTATGGAGGGAGGCATGCTGTGAGTGAGACCAGAGCTAACCCCAGCTAACTCCACCTGCAAATGTGAGGAACCTACTCAGGTAGGTCTCTTGCAGAAAAATGCAGACTTTGTTCTCTAGAAGTTCACCACCCAGGTGGTAAGTGCAGAAAAGGTAGCATGAAAGTTAAGAACCAGGGGTTTAGAAGGCAGGGAAGGAATTTGGTCTGGCAGCTTTGGGGGTTCTTCCTAGAGGACCACGAATTTCCTCTGGGCCCAGAAATGGAGACTGACACTTTGTGTGTTGGGTGGGGAGAGGAGGGGGGGAATGAGACTGAGAGGGATGTGTGTGTGAGTGTTGCCAAACACCAGAGGAAGATAGGGATGAGGAGCAAATAGAAGGAGCAAAGACATGAAGGGAAAGATAGTGTGTTCAAAGACAGAAATGCAGTGAGAGGTTTGCGCACTATTGTTAATACATGTCATTTTGCTCACGTTTTACCATTTAGAAAGTTTGATAGCCTGTTCAATTTCATCTTCATAATAATTAGGAGAGATGGGCAGACTGTCTCTTTTACAGAGAACACAGAGGCCCAGAGAGGAACGGTAATTTGCCTAGGGCCACATGGCAAGTGGCAAAAGCACATGAACCCGGGCTTTCAGACCCAAATCCTGTGTTCTTTCCACTGCTCTCTAGTTTCTGCCAGGGGTAGGGGAGCTGGGGGAGATCAGGTTGGTGTAGCACCTGGGAAAACAGAGTGAGCAGCGACCTGAATGTGGGGCTAAGGAGTCTGGGGAAAACTCAGAAACTCCTGGCAGACCCGAATTTTTAGGGGATCAAACAGAGTTAGGCAGATCATCCTAGTGCAGAGGTATCTAGAGGGGCAGGCCCACCCTGGAGGGAGGGAGGCCTGAGGATAGGCTGTAGCAGTAATAGTCTGGTCCTGGTATGTGAAAACACAAGGATGCAGGGAAGAAAGATCTGGAGGACCAGGTGAGGCAAAGAAGGGAGAAGGATAGGAAAAGACTTTAACCAGGAAGGAGCTGGAATTAGGATGAGAGAAAGCTGTAGAAAGTGTAGAAAGGGGAGGGAGGCCAAGAGTTTTGCTTGTGTGTCTGTGAATCTGTGGATAGGGCTATAGTGTAGTGTCCAAAAGGCAACCAGAGCTTGTGTTTGGAGGCTAACTGTCCGCAGGGGATGGCTGAAATGACAGAAGATGAGTATTTTGAGTCAGAGAGGACTAAAGGCCTGGCCCTGAATTACTAAGAAAAACCTAGGGAAGGCTCTGTTTTGCTTAGCATCATAGGGAATGTGTGATACATTTAAGAATGGATTCAAGAGCTGTTACAACAAAAATTTGGGACACTTAACCGGGGTGTAGTTCTATTTCATTGACTGGTAGTGTAGCACCCTTGATCATGATAAGCAGATTCTTATAGGCTTCAATATCAAAAAAGAATCCCTAGACTTAGAAGTTAAAAAGAAAAAAAAGGTCAAACACCCCTTCAAGGATGTAAATGACATTTTCATCAGTAAATTCTAACATTGGGGAATTTCTCCTAAGCAAAAAAATTGACATGGGCAAGATTTAGCTACACAGTGTTGTCTGTATTAGGAAAATATGGAAATAACCTAAATATCCTACAACAGGAGATTAATCAGTAAGTTTTTATTTATCCTTATTAGAGAATAATATATACCATTACAAATTGTATTGTAGAAGTACACTTCATGACATCGAAAGATAAACAGATACAGATGATTATCTGTGAATTAAAATAAAGTTCTTGTTTTAAAGCACTTTTTACAGGCTCCTATTGCCTTTAAAGTGTCATTCTGATCAATTTCTGAGACACATGAGGTGCAAACTTCCTTTCCCTGATCTCATTTTGAATATTCCAGTCTCTATATCAGGTTCTTAGAGACAGGACAAGCATCCATTTGCTGCATAGAGAACAGACTTCACAACTCAGGAGCCACCTGCTTTCTGCTCTTCTGGCTCCAAAGGTCTTGATTTCTGTAGTGGGTTACCACTCCGTCTGCCATTTAAAGCACCCCAACCCTTCTATGCCTTCCTGGGCTTCTGGATCTTCCATTTTTCTTAACAGCCAGCTAGGCTCCTTCCTTGCAGTTCCTCCTGCCTTTTTGCCTCTCTAAGTGACTGCACCCACCACACTCTGGGAAACAGCTCTGACCCATTCTTGCTGGGCTCTTGGGAACCAAGCTTCGTGTTATCACAGCATCAGATTCTAGTGCACCAGAATTGGATTAACCCATCCATTTCCTCTGTGGGAGGGAGTCAGTAGAGTGACTGACAGGTGGAATGCTGCATCAACCAGTCTATTTATAGCCTGCACCATTGCAACTGGGTGCTACTGCTGTGAAGGGAGAGCTGGGTGAGGGGAATGACACGGCCAGTCCAGCCTGGGGGAGCAATTGACTTCTGAGTCAGCAACTTTGGGGAAGGTGAGGAAAGAACCTGCTGGGCCAGAGTTCTGGATGGAAAATGAACACTCAGTCCAGTCTCTAGGAGTACAAGTGGGGCAAGGTCTATTTTAAAGCACAAGAGTTAAGTAGCTGCCCTTCCCAAGAGCCTGGGACCTGGGTTCCTCAACCCTTTGGCCACATCCATGGCCTTGGCCATCCCTAAGCAATTTCCTCCATGCTGCCCAGAATCTCTCTGCTGAGGACCCCAGGCAATACCAATGCAGCTACGAAGGAGCTCCCAATGCAAGGGCCATGTGAGGCTGTGTAGGTGGCCTAAGGCTGGAGTGCTAGCAGGAACAAGGCTACCCAAGCCCTACCCCAACTCAACAATCGGGGCTTCTCTGAAATCCTTTCCTTAAGGTCAGCTGAATGGCAGTTCCAAGGATGTAGACCCACAAGAGGGGGAGGTGCCTCTCTGCCATTGTTAGTCTCTGGGCAGGGACCTCAAAAGCCACGAGCACCTGCTGTCCCCAAGTGCGGCAGGGTGTTTTACAGACATAATTTCTCGCTGTAAACCAGAGAGATGGGGCTTCTTACTTTATAGTTGAGGAGACTGACGTTCCCAGTCCCATGTCAGGTGCACCTACAGCGACCAAACCGGGATTTCCTCTCTTCCGGCAGCCCCAAGCAGCACCCCAGGCAGATTAGGCTTTCCCTTACTTCGTCAAGGGAGGTGAGTGCCCTGGAGGTGGGTCACCGCTCGAGAAGGGGGGATTATAAGGGACCAGGCCCTTCTTTCTCGGCACACCATGAGCAGGCTTGAGGAACCAGGCTAGTTTACGGGGATTCAATCCCGGTATGTTCATCCTGAAGAAGACGGCAGGTGCCCGGGTAACCTCCTCACCTGCGCTCAGAAGACAGAAGTCCCCCACCCCCAGGAGAGGAGGATGAAGAGTTGGCCACAGGATCAAGCAGGTTGGGAGAATACGGAGTGAGGGGAGTAACTGCGGGAGGGGACCTTCGGCTTTCCAGGACAGCTTTCTCCCGGGCTAGCTGGTGTGGGGGTGGAGTGGGAGCGGACGGGGCGGGCCCGCGGTCGCCCCAGGGCGGCGGCGCCGGGCCGGAGGGGGTGGGGAGGAGCAGCCGCCCTGTACTTCCCCTTAGCCGCTAGCTCTACAACAGCCTGATTTCCCCGAAATGATGGGGCGGCACCGACCAATAGGCGCCCTCGCGGCTCTTTAGGAGGCGGGGCCGGGCCTGGGTTGGGGGAATCCCGCTAAGTGTTTAGATTTCTCGCCGGCGCCGCTGCCCCGGCAGAGCGCGCCACTCCTTCGTCGAGGCAGGACGTGCGCCTAAACCCGGTCGAGCAGAGGCCAGCGGGAGCTGTGCCAAGCCAAGGCCAGCCGTCCCCAACGGCCCCTCGACCCGGGCATCCTCTGCCTTCCCGCGCTACCTCCCGGAACTGCGCTCCCGGCGCGGACACAGCTGCCCCCAGCCGCGCCAGGACCTTCGGGCGCCGCCGCTGGATCGCGCCCGCTGCAGAGGTGAGCCCGCCTTCGCTGCGGGGGGGACCGGTGGCGTCGAACAAAGGCGTGCAGGGCACCAGGAAGTGGGGGCCGACAACCCCAGCCCGGAGAGTCGCGGGCGCGCGGCGTTGCCTGGGCCCCCGCGCGGTCTTGGGAGGGCGCTGGAGGAGCGGCGAGCTGCAGCGCGGGGAGGGCGGGCCGCGCGGCGTGGACCGCCCACGAGCCGAGGTTGCCGGCGCCCGGCCGCTGTCGCAGATCTTTGTGCGCGGAGCCACCCGGCCTTCTGGGTGGCTCGGTAGGTTTGTCGCGCGCATCCGTGAGCGGTGCCGGGGACTCGAGTGTACGTCCGCGCGTGGGCGCCCTGTGCTCCTCGCGCGGGCTTTCGGCGGTCCCAGCTCTTCGCCCAGGCCTTAGGTTTCAGGCCGTATGTGCAGGTGTTGGGGGCTGGGGCTTGATGCCCTGGATGGCTGGCGGACCTGCTGGGGCTTTGGAAGAGGCGCCACAGGTGTTCCTTCCGCTACCAAGCGGAGGAAGGGAGCAGGGCCAAAGGGTACCTTGTCTGGAGCAGCGTAGATTAGATGGGGGTGGGGTGGGGGTGAGGGTAGAGTGCGGGGTGACTGCCTGCCACTAGGGAAGATGCACAGCTAGTGGTAGTGGCAGAAACTCAAGTAGGGGAATTTATTGGCATCAACCAAAAGAAGCCTCTCCCTTCCCAATGGATTTGAATTTGGGAGGAAAGTTCTGGTATTAAGATATCTGTGTATTTTATCTGTTTTTCCTGCACATAAATCCTGAAACTATCACTTGCATTCCTGTCTCCTCCCAAGAGTGTTTAGAGGAGTGTGGGGGAAGGGGCTTAAGTGTTTTTGCCCAAGATGTTGAAAATATTTGGAGGGCAGTTTTATAACAGTGAAAGCCCCTTCCCCCATGATTGTAGTACTTGGTACCTGGTGGAAGGCATAGGAAAATAACTGAATGACCTTGGAGGGGTGGGGGTGGGGGGAGGGGTGGTAATAGGTGGCCGGCAAGTAGTGCCTAAGGGGCTGCTCTACAGACTCCAAACCAGAGCCTCTGTTTTCTCTTTACAGCAACATGCCCATCACTCGGATGCGCATGAGACCCTGGCTAGAGATGCAGATTAATTCCAACCAGATCCCAGGGCTGATCTGGATCAATAAAGTGAGTATAACCTTTTGGGTTTTTCTGCTGCTATTTTAACACATGTTCTTTGGGGGACCAAGGGTTCAGATACAGCTCAAAAAGGGAAGTGATGGGGAGGAGGCAGATGTGCTTCCCAGTGGGTCCTGCGTGCAGGGGGGATGCAAGACCCAGCCTTGGACTGCACTTAGCCAACTTCTGCCTTCCTTTTTCAGAGTGGAGGGGGCACTCACCTGAGGGCACTGACAGTTTCTAGCAGCAGGACCCTCCCAGCATCTGCAGAGTCAGAAGTTCTGATCTCTTCTGAGGGAGACTACAAACACACAGCATCCTACAGGGTTCCCGTCAGCTAGGAGACAGAGAAGTGGGCACTAGTGACAAGAAGTATGGCTGGTTCGGCAGCAGACCCAAAAATTAACCTTGCACCGTTGGCCCAGGCCCAGGAAACCTCATGCTGGTGCACAAATGGCAACACAGACCCTGCAGACTTAGTAATAATAATAATATTAATAATGATAGCTCATGCTTAGCGTACACTCCCTACAAGCGAGTGTGACACTGTGCTAAGTTTTTTACTTATATTGCATTACTGAGTCCTCACAGTAGCCCTGTGAAGTAGATCCTATTAATATCTCCATTTTCAGATAAGGGAACTGAGGCACTGAAAGGTAAATAGTGAGTTCACAGAAGAAGTGATAAATCCAAGATTCGAACCTGAATAGTCAGACTCAAAAATCCATAGCATTAACCACCAGTCATGACAAAAGTGAGGCTTAGTCTTTATATTTGTCACTGTGATTTCTCGTTTCACAGAGACCAGTGAGGGACCAGGAGTTAAAGTGACAGTGCCAGTGTCACACAGGTAGTCAGCATCCAAGACTGGCAGAGGGCTCCCACAGGTATATGGCCAGGACCCCCTGTGTAGGAGCCAGTGGTCCCAGGTGTCCTAAGCAGCCCTATATGATGGGTGGAGTCCTCCCTTCCATGTTGGTGCTGAAAGCCAGAGAGCATCCCAATGTGCTCTGTGTGGGTCCCACACATCTGTAACAGGCAGAGGGAGACCTTTGCTGAGCTGATGTTGCCATAGCTCTTCAGAACCCAGAGCCCCTACTGAGAGATTGAGAGCTATACAGTTGTCTGTTTAAGCCATTCTCAGGATGGGTCAACCCAAGCCAGATGTCAGGGTAAAAAGGGGAAGTCAGACTTTTCCCAGACTTGGGGGGCTGGGCAGACTCATGCAAAAAGCCTGTGGCCTCTGAGATAACACAGCCTTGTGTGTGTGTGTGTGTGTGTGTGTGTGTGTGTGTGCCGTTCAGGAGGAGATGATATTCCAGATTCCATGGAAGCACGCTGCCAAACATGGCTGGGACATTAACAAGGATGCCTGTCTGTTCCGAAGCTGGGCCATTCACACAGGTGTGTGCCCTGGTCTCCAGCCCTGAAGGGTCCAGGGAAGAGACAAGGGGAGTCACTTCTGTTAACACAGAGGTTCTTTGTTGGGGTCTCTGAGTTCCTGAGACTGTGTACAGAATTGGGGGTGAGGAGGGGGCAGACTTATATTTCTGGGGGAAGAGGTCCATCATTTCACCAAGTTCTTAAAGGAACTTGTGAAGTCAGTATCTTAGAAAGCATGTTTCAAGGAGTTCGTGGCTGGTTGAAAGCTCCCCCTGGCACAAGCACTTGTGAGCCGGGATACTGAAAGAGACCCAGGTCTTTCATTTTCTTGATGATCACCAAGGTCCTGGCCCAAGGCCCATAGAGTTAGCAGCCTCCTTTTATCCTTGAGGGTTGGGGCTCTTGGTCCATCTCAGATCAGTCAGCACGCCTATCAGTAACTGTTCTTTGATGCCTACTCTTTGTCCACTCCTGTGTTTGGAAATATCAGATAAACCCTAGTCCCTACTTGCTCTCTGACTGCTGACAGCCCAGGCAGGGAGACTGGTCATGGTATAGCACCAGTACAGCACTTTAGGACATATGGGCCCTCTAGTGCTTCTGGCTGGGCCCTTCGGAGAGGCCTGCTGAATGTGTCTGAGCCGAGCCTGGGCATTTGAGAATTCCTGAGGCCTGCAGATGGTCACTCAGGAATACTGGCTATTTGGCCAGTGTGGGTCTCTGGCAGCATGACAGCTCAGGGCTACTCTTGTCTTCCTCCTCCCAGGCCAGAGGGCAGCTGAAGATCCCCACCTATGGCCCTGACAGTCCTCTTCCCTCTTCTGCCCACTAGGCCGATACAAAGCAGGGGAAAAGGAGCCAGATCCCAAGACGTGGAAGGCCAACTTTCGCTGTGCCATGAACTCCCTGCCAGACATTGAGGAAGTGAAGGACCAGAGCAGGAACAAGGGCAGCTCAGCCGTGCGGGTCTACCGAATGCTCCCGCCCCTCACCAAGAACCAGAGGAAAGGTAGCCAAGAGCTCTGGGTCTTTGGGTAGCAATTGGTGGGGGGGTAGGGAGAGGTGAGAAGGGCTGCTGGGGCTGATGTGCCTGTCCCAAGACTGACAGCCTATCTGCTTCACAGAGAGGAAGTCCAAGTCCAGCCGAGATGCTAAGAGCAAGGCCAAGAGGAAGGTGAGTGTGGTCCTAAGCTGCTAGTCTTTGGTCTCCTGGGAGTCAGGGTGGGCAGGGGAAGAAATGCCACAGCAAGCCTGGGCCTGAGCACCTCCCTCCTGTTGCAGCTGTGTGGTGACTCCAGTCCTGATACCTTCTCCGATGCACTCAGCAGCTCTACCTTGCCGGATGACCACAGCAGCTACACCGCCCAGGGCTACATAGGGCAGGATTTGGAGGTTGAGCGGGACCTAACTCCAGGTGAGCTGGGCCGGGTCTGGCATGAGAGCACCTAGGTCACGGGGATGGCTCCTTCTCTTGGGTTTAGGGAGCACTGTGCTTGAGGACAGTAGCCAGTTGGAGCAGGCAGCAGGGCCAGGGCTGCTGGGTGTCCTGCAAACTGAGAAAGCCCACAGTTCTGACCTGCGGTTTCTCCTGTCCTTCAGCACTGTCCCCATGTGCCGTTACTAGTACGCTTCCTGACTGGCACATCCCAGTGGAAATTGTGCCCGATAGCACCAGTGAGCTCTACAACTTACAGGTGTCACCCATGCCCTCCACTTCAGAAGGTATGTGCTTTTGAGGACTGCCTGCCTGCCTCTTGTTTGGGCCCTGGGAAGGGTTCCCTGAGGGAGAGAGGATGGATGCGCAGAACTCCACCAGGCACTGACGGAGGTCACTGTGCTAGAGAAAAGAGAGAGGTAGCCGGGGGCTGCACCTTGGTCCTGATGGCTAGTTTTCCTGGCTCCTCTGCAGCCCAGTCTCTGAGGGTGAGGAAGGAAGCAGGGGGGTGGGAAGAGGTGTGGCTTCGGGGTTCGGGAGGCTGAGTCACTAGGACTGTGTCCTGTTCTGGCATCTCTGTGGTCGCAGATGTCTGCTGGGAGGCAAGTGTGTGTGCGTGCATGAAAGGTGACGGCACTGGTGGTGCCTGAGCTGCAGAGCTGAGCCAATTTCTCTGCTCTTCCCACCCACAGCCACAACTGATGAGGATGAAGAAGGGAAATTAACTGAGGACATCATGAAGGTAAAGCCCATTCCTCCCTGGGCACTCTTTCAAAGTGGCTGCTTAGGAGAAAGAAAGCCACTCAGAGCCTACAAATCAGAGGGCGTAAGCAGTGGCTCCTGTGACTGGACTGCTTGCATAGTTCTACAGGTGTCACACCTATGGTGCCCTCCTCGGCTACTGGGAGAGACACCGTGGAAGTGAGGATAGGAGGGAGGCCTGCTCTCTGACCGGCTGCCCAGGAGCAAAGCTCCAGAGCCTGAAACAGTGCTGAGTCAGCCACTCTCTGCACCGGGTCCCTGGCCTGCGTCCTCTGCCCCAGCACGCCCCAGGCCTGCTGCCCCGCTGGCCTGGGCAGTGCACGTTAGGTTTTCATAATCAGCCTTTGGGATCTGTAATCTGATGGGGTTTATTCCCTTTTTTTTTTCTTTTTTTTTTAAAGCAAATTATTCTCCAGGTTTGTTTTTTTTTTCTTTCTTTCTTTCTTTCTTTTTTTTTTTTTTTTTTGCTTCAGTTTTAAAAGTGAATATAAAAACATTTTTACAGTAGTTGTACCCAGGCTCTGTTTCATTAGCTTAGAAAACTTGAAACATAGCTGTAGCTCTTTATCTCCAGGTTTTCTAGACATCTTTTCTTGAGTCATGATGCTACCCATTGCGTTAAGCCACATTCCCAGTTGGTATGTCCTCCTCCCCCAGCTGAGGGGGAAAGTCTTGGAGATTCTGTGCCAGAGGGTAAATGTGGGAGTGGAAGTCCAGGGCAGACCCTCCCTTCCCAGGCCTCTTCCTAGCCTCATTCCACAACTACATCTACCTGAGAATGTGCAAAGGGCCAAGGGTATGAGGCTGGCAGGGAAGCTTTGGCTTACTGAACGCAGGGCCAGAGGATGAGTCTGCACTGGAAGTAAGCTGATGGCTTCTTGTTCCTCTGTCCACAGCTCTTGGAGCAGACAGGGTGGCAGCCAACAAACGTGGATGGGAAGGGGTACCTGCTCAATGAACCCGGAGTCCAGCCCACCCCTCTCTATGGAGACTTCAGCTGCAAGGAGGAGCCAGAAGTTGACAGCCCTGGAGGTAAGAAGTCCCTGGAGCTAAGGATTTCTCCCACAAGGGAGAAGCTTGCAGGGGGTAGGAAAGGGGTGGGGACTGGGCCAGGGAGCAGCAGAGGCAAACCACCTTTCTTAAACGCTTCTTGTGAATTGGCTGCTGCTCCCAAGTACTTAGGTTTGCCTAAAGATGAGGGGGGGCTTACTGCTGCGGGTGGGCAGTAGAGGCAGCTGTGTCCGTGGCTGGGATAGGCTGAGGGGGTGGGAGAACACACCTGTCTTCATCCTCCATCCTCATACAACCTTCTTCACATCTTCTAGGGTATATTGGACTGATATCTTCAGATCTGAAGACCATGGACCCCAACTGGCTGGAGGGCCTGTTGCCCCCAGTCAGACTGCCCTCTATCCAGGCCATTCCTTGTGCGCCGTAGCTGCGCCCCAGCCCCCTTTAACTCCCCTAGGCTAGCAGGACCTGGCATCACGGTAGCTGTGATGCAGAGAAACAGGACTCCTGTGGGCTCCTTGACATGGCAGAGTGTTACTCCACTGCTGAGCAGGGATGGGGCCTCCCTCCTTAGGATAGTAACCTCTTGCAGTCAGTCAGGCCATGGTCTGGGCTTATCTTGCGGGGTAAAGCTGGCCCTGGCTCCTGGGAAGATGGGGTTCTGAGAAGGACGTGTCAGGTGGAGGTCTCAGAGAGGAGTCGGCCTCCAGCTTTTCCCTCTAAGCCCAGCTGTTGAGAGAGGGTCTCACTGTCACTGAGGTGGCCCAAGGGAACAGACCAGTGACCTCAGAAAAACACAGCACTGACCCCAGGGCTGGCTCTGCACTAAGAGACGATTGCACTAAGTGAATCCTGTTCCCAAAGAACCCCCCCCTTCCCAGCTGAGCCCTGGGGACTGTTCCAAAGCCAGCAAAATGTGAAGGAAAACGGGGCCCTGCAGGACAGTGCTCCCTCAGCCTCAGAGGAGCTCTGTCCTGCTCGGGCTGAGGGGCTTGGGAAAAAAAATGGCACTTTTTCTGGTGGACCTTGCCACTTTCCTGATCAAGGTGTACACTAACGACCCCCCCAAGCTCTCAGCCTTGCATTTATTTATATTGTGCCTTGCCCTGCGCCCACCTGCCCCCCTCAGGCAGGCCCCGGCAGCCCTCAGCAGGCCCTGGGAGGGAAGTGTGAGCGCCTTGGTATGATTTTTAAAATTGGAAATGTCATCTAATCACTAAATCATGTGTGACCACATACATACATGTGTGTAAATATGTACATTTGTCTTTTTATAAAAAGTTAATTGTTTATAAAGGGTGTGGCCTTTTATTTAGAGATAAACTGCAGATGGTTTTCCTTTTGATAGAGACATTCTGATGAACTCATTCTGGGCATCCTGCCTGCACTTGACTGGGGGTGAGCAGTGACATGCACCTATTGCAGAAGCCGTGAGTTATGTTCACGGAGAAGGTGACAGGAAGAGGGGACAATCCTAGCACACAGACATGCTCATATAGATGCAGTCTATAGATGCAGTCACTTGCCCTTGACTTTATAGCCAGGCTGTGAGTTGAACTGGGGCTCCAAAGCCTGAGGAGTGTTAGGTTTTGAGTTCTGAGTACCTTGCCGTGAACTTTATGTCCTGCTAAACTCAAATCCAAGTGTAATCAGATGCTACTTCAAAAAAGTTAACACCTGGTACTGGCCTGGTCATGGACAGCCACCACAGACACCAGCCCAAAACCGGTTACGGAGGCCCGTTGTGCTAGGCATTACCTGTCTAGTTCTGATGGACATGTCCTTTTTCTACACTGTCCACTATAGTAGGCAGTGGCAAAGTCACATGTGTCAACTGAGTGCTTGAAATGTGGCTGGTGCAATGGAGCAACTGAATTCTTAGTTAAAATGCAAATAGCGCCTGGTGGACAATGGCTACAACATTGGACAGTACAGATAGATACTGGATTGGGAACAGATCTGAGAGGCAGAGGCTGGGGCGGCTGGTGGACACTAGGGACAGACTTGGGGCTATTTATCTGCCAATTCAAGAGTATTTTGCTATTTTCATGGCCCGCAATAGCTACACTGGTGCTGAATACGAGCCCTACAGTGTACTATATGACAGGTCCATGCACAAAAGTGTTAGGAAAACCTTGGATAACCTCACATGAAGCAGGTTTCCTTCGTTTCTTCTCAGGGTTCTGGCTGAGTTTAGGCACACAAAATCTCTGTGAAGGAGTATGTTTCTGAAAACCACAGGTTGAGAACCACCACCATATGGCAGTACTCCCCTCAGATAAGGCCTAGTTAAAAGAATGACTGAGGGGGAGTTCTGGATATGGGCTTTTTTCATGTCTCCCCACCCCTGGTCCCTGGCCCTGAGGCATAAACAGTACCCAGCAGCAGGCAGGCTGGCCAAGAGAAATCAGCTGATGGCACTAGCATCATCTAGGGAGTGAGGTCATGGCAATAAGGGGGTTACTCAGGGAATCTAAGCCCTGTGGACACTTCTCCCCAGTCTTAGTCTCAGAAATTGCTTGGACTTAGTTGCCCTTCCTGGGCCCAGCCCTCTGGAAGGAGTCTGGACCCCTGGTGGGGAAGGAAAGGCTGAGTGAGAAAATGATGAAAAACCTAGAAAATGGGCAAGGATCAGTCTGACATATTCTGCCAAGCTCAGAAAGTATTGTTGCTTGATCTTGTCATGCCCTGTAAGTAGCAGGTGGCCTCCAGTCTCCAAAGCCAAGGCGAAGTCCTGACATTTTCTAGCTCTTATCTGCAGAGTCCTAAAAAGTTGAGAACGCCCTGATATGTCTAGGGAGGAACTCCCAAACACTACTTGCTCCCCGTCACAAGGCAGCTGGGCTCTGGGGACCAGGCCTGGAGAAGCAGTGTGGGATAGAACCAGAACTTCCAATCTGTCCCATCACACCCTGCCATGGACCTTGGCCCAGGCCTGATGGGGAGACAGTAACTGTGACAGCCTCTGACACTAACTCATGAGCCAGTCAGTGGCTGAACAAAGCAACATCAATATAATGGGAGCCAAATTTGGTCATAATAGTTTAAGGTCATTCTTGGGGTCTGTTAAAGCTTTTGTGGCTCATTCCCAAGAGTTTTGGCCTAAGCACTAATGGTGGAAACTCCTGACTAAAGAATTTAGGAGGTCAATGAAAGATCTGTTTTGTTGGAGTTGTGATAACATTGTCATTAAGACCACTTTCCGTTGGGGTAAAGTGGCAAATTGGGGCATGGTCATACCAGCTAGAACTCCTGTTAAATCTATGGACATTTGGGGCCATTTCTGGTTAGTCATAGGCATTTCATTGCCTTACTCCAAAGGTATCACTTTAACTGGGTTGGTTTATTCATTTAGCTCACTTGATAATAGCAAGAAAAAGAGGCTAATATGTTAGCTGCCCACAGAGAGGGTCAAGGAGGCAGAAAATCTTCAGGGAAGACAGATACAAACCATACCTACTTGATGTATCAGTCTTCAACATCTGTCAGCGGGCTGTGTGCAAGATAAGAGCTTCCTCAGATCTTTGGAGGTTTTAGGCAGGGACTGCCAAAGACAAGGGAATGTCCTGGGCCTGGTTAGAGGTGGAATCCTTTCCTCTGGAAGTGAACCCTGCTGGGTGTGGGGGCTGGGCCATGCTCAGCCTGTCATTCTCTGGGACCATTTGGTCTTCTTCTTATGCAGAAGAAGATTCTTATGCAGAATCTTCTATATGCAGATTCCAAAATTGTATTCACAGGGTACAGATTTCCTCAGCAGCCTTGTGGAAACACCCAGGTAGCCTTTGTCTCTGTCAGATGTAATGTGCTTGCTTAACTCAGGCAGGACTCACCCTCCATGGTGAGGATGCATGAAATTCATTGGACCCCCGCACTGACCTCTTCCCACTAATGCCAGTGGTCACAAGGACAAGAGAACGGGGAGCTGGTGCACTCGCTCTTCCAGGATTAAGCCTACAGGGCAGAGTGAGGTTTGTCTTTGCCAGCCAGGGTTCTCTTGTGAGGCCAAGTCTAAGGCAGTACAAGGGCATAGCTGGCTGGCCATGCCATTTTCCTAGCTCCAGGCAGCTCCCAAGAGACCCATTTCTGCTGATACTCTGGGGGTAGGGATTGTAGAAGCAGCCCCCACTTCTGTAGGCTTAGGGGGGGGCGGCAGGCCTAGGGAGTCTATGCTAACAGTTTAATTTCAGTTGGGGGATACTAGAGGTAATGAGGCAAGGACACAGGGATTGGTTATAAGAGGAGAGGCAGAAATCCAGCCCTCCATCCCTCCTCCAGTTCCACAGTCTCACCAATGAGAGGAATGGGGAAGGACCTTAAAGTCTGGCTAGGTAATGACAACAAAGGTCTGGGGTGCTCCCTCTGCAGCAGGTGTCAACCCCCCACCCCCACCCCAACACACTATCCTACTGGCGCCCAAACCACCTTGTTTGCAGACCAGGTGAGCAAAGCTCAGTTGGTGTAGGGTGGTTGCCCGATGACTCAGCTAAAAAGTATGGAGCCTGGATTCCAACCCACACCTGTCTGTGCCCAGTACCCAGATGGCTCCCATAGTATCAGGCTGTCAGCAGAGGAAGAAACTGAGGCCTGGGAAGGACGTTTGCAAGAGCCTGCCTGGCGCAGGACACTAGCACTTCATGCTGAGAGAGCATTTGGGGACCCGGAAGGAAGGTGACAAAGGCTGCATCCCAGGTGGACACCATGGGACTCAGCCCCTGCCTTCAGCTCCCCTGCTCCCCCTCCTCCTAGACAATATTGCTCTGCTGTTCCAAGCTCCTAGGCCCCAGTAGGGTAGGGTTTGGCTTGGTCCTCAAGGGAGGAATGCCTCATCTACACCCTGGAGGCCACTTGCAGTTTCAAGGGGTGGGGCCCTAGGGGAATGGGACATAGACTGGCCTGTAACTTGGCCTCAGGGCAGGGGGCAGCTTAGCCACCCCAGCGTGTTTATGAACCTGCTTCCAACTGCAGGGGACTCTGGCCTACTAGGCCTTATCTTGGCCCTAGGAATCAAAGAGGATGTTTCTGCTGCGCTTCTGTGGGAGAAAGGCAACAAGAACTCTCCTGTTCTCCTGCTCTAAACCACACCCTCTGCTAGGTCCTGGGGTACTCAGCAATCTGAACTCTGGGTGAGTCTATCAGCCAGGACCACTCACAGGCGTATCCTCACGTCTAGCCATGAGACTGGAGTCACCCTATGGTTGTCCAGAGTCTAATCCAGCTTCTTGGTCCCTGAGACAATGCAGCAGCCCTGGCAACTGGCTGTTTGCTACCCTGCATCAGGGGGGTTCTCAGACCCACTTGCAGGGTTCCTTCAGGAAAAGCTTTTCCCCGCCCTCCAGACCCCAGCCTAGATGTCAGGGTCCTCACTTCCATTTCTGTACAAATGCCTTGGCCTGGCCTGGGTCTCCTTCTCTGTTTCTGCCCTACCACTTCTCACTCACACTGTCAATCCTGAATTGGCCCGTATTAGAGCAGGTACAGTGAGTTCTTCCACAGCAATTACAAATAGCCACAGTTTTGCTAAGACAGGTGAAGGGATATGCCTGAGATCTTAGTTCAGGAGCTCGACATAAGTGGCCAAGGCCATAGGAGTCTCGGGCTGCAGGTGGTGGTAATTCTGTGCCAGGCTTTTCTGAGAAAGCTGACTTCATGGAATGAGGGAATCATAAGGATACAGAGTTGGGGTTTGGGGATCAGGTGCAGAGAGGGAGGGAGTCATTAGGTAAGAATAGCTATTGCTTTCCTAAAACTAAGAACAATGGAGAAGTCATGTCACATCAGGGTGATGGTGGACTTTGGTGGGGGACTGTTGACCTTGCCTGTGGGAGGTGAAGGGTAACTATCTCTGCTGGGGACCCAGAGCTCTCCTCCAAATGCTCCTTCTGGGCTTTCCAGGGTGGGAAGGAGAGCAGATGTGAGGATGCTGAGAGCTGTGGTGAGGGCTGTGCTTTTAGGTATAGAGCCTGGCACTCCCAAATAAATGGGGGGCAGGGCAGGGTAGACAGGAGGGCCTGAAAGGGTGTTCAACTTTCTAAGGCTGGTGACTATTCATCACCATCCTGCTGTCATGAACTGGCCAGCAGCCAGAGTTCTCAGCTTTGGAGACCATCTGCCCCTATTGGGGGTAGATGCCGCCTCAGGTCACTCAGTAGGACCCCATATTTGGTCTCTGGCCATCCTAAGACACATACAAGGTGACCTGGGGGCCCGCCCTTATCTAAAGGCCCCCAAGAGCACAGACTCACCATCCAGTGCCTGTCCCCTTCCTGTCTGCCACTCCCCTTGTGGTCTGTTGGGTACCCAATCTCTCCGACGAGACTGGAAGCTTCCCAGGAGCAAGCAGCTCATCTCCTCTGTAGTCTCAGGGGGCCAAGGTAGGACTGGCCCTTGAGAGCATTTCCTGTAAAACCCTGGGTCAGCATCTGCTTA